CGAATTTAAATAACAAAATATCGTCATGTATAGGAAATTAATGATAAAAGTGTCATTACATGAAATTATTTTTAAAGTAATGATTAATGTTGATAATAATTCAATTCATGAATGACGTTAAATGAATAGTGTATTGTTTTTTTGCTACATAAAGTTCGTTTCTATTAATTATGAACAACCTGTAACTCGAAAAATACGCTACTGAGACTTTTTTTTATTAATTTGTTATATAGAATCTTACAACGAGGTACTAAGATTGGTTATTTCTCGATATTTCCGTCACTACTTACTCTTTGATTAAACTGTTAATTATTTTACCGTAAATATAACAAAATATTGACACAAACACAATAAAATAGTGCCATGCTGCATCAACCCCATTATTTTAACACAACTAAAAATAAAAATACTCAGTAATCAACGCTACGCTCTTATGGCATTTAAAAAATAAGTTTGCAAAGGATAAATGCCCTTGTTTTAGTAGCTTCCGTACAGAAATATTTCTAGGACAATTTCTATAGTGGAATTGTATGCATGCGATTTGATAAGGAGTAAAAGCGATTGTCATTTATTCAGGTAAGGTCAAGAGTTAGTTAAGTACTACTTATTCGTTTTCATGAGATTTCATGCGAGCTACACTTACGGGCTCCACACGGTGTCATTACCAGTGCAGCTAAAGTATATTACATGCATTTAGTCAAAGAGAAAATGCCAGTTTCACGAAATTTAGGTGCAAGTTATTGCGGTCTTATTGATGTTACTTTGTAATTTACTTATCAGGTTCTATAACATTAAATCATAATTTTGTTAATCCTCCACCTGTTCACATATTTAATATAGTCTTCAGTATCTGCACGTCTGTGTCTTATAGATACATTTAAATTTCCCTTATACATGAATATTTTTTAGATAGACACAGATGTATTCCTAAAAATTAACTTTCTGGAAAAATTAAAACGATACCTTCTTTTTCGTTTGAATTTACTCTATTTTCAACGACTCTTGGAATTATACTGAAATATTCCAATCAAAAGAGGCAAGTATAAATTACACATTTGTTACTTTCACTGTAGTAAACTGAAATCAGTGCATACCAGTCTGTACTAATAAATATAGTGTAAACTTACAGCAAATGTCAAATGCATATCAAATCATATAAACGTTATGTTCTAATATATTTAGTACGTAAAAATTTCTCCAGGATATTTTATTTTGCTTTATTTATTTTCGAAGGAAGCATACATATAGTTATTTTGCATTGTTTTACTTATTTTTGCCTTTTATCAGTATCATATATTCAATATTGAATACATACATTTCTAATAACCTGAAAACTTGGAAAAATTAAGCTCGTACTTTTCGTTTAAATGTGAAAATAAAAAAATAGATTTATATTTGGTAAACCCTCGAATCTCATCTATAAATTAGTTGAAGCAAAAATCAGTTAGTTCATTTCAGTCAAATATAACCAGTAATAATTACACTTTCTATATTACCTGCAATGCGTGTCTATTGCGTTTTTTTAGTTTGTATGTACGCATCAATATTAGGTGTCCATAGAATGTAGAATGAAAGTATTGTATTTTTTTTGTTGTTATATTATTTTATCGTTTTCTTATATTATAGTTTCCAGGAGCAATTTTGTAAATGAAAGAATAGATACATACGTAATAGTAGATGCGAGAAATGTACTGGAAAATGTGACTTGTTTGTGTTGTGCAATGTTTACTGAAAAATCTACCAATTTGTAACTTGTCAATAAATAATGTCGAGGTTTTATCATAAAACTGCATTACGTACCGATTTAGCTTGTTTCAGAGCAAGCCCGATTAAACATTTTGTTTTTCTGTCATCTTCAGTACAGAAAAAATAAATGTTTTAAGCTGTGCTGATATATCAGGTGTTGCTTATTTTCAGACCTATCATTTTCATTTGACGATTTATTGAGACATCTATTTAGTCAGGACCCCGTCTAAATTGTGGCATGTTTTCGATTTCATATTCACAATAAAGGTACTACGACAATTTTAACATTGTGCATTATGTTAATGTTTCTAGAAAAGTAACTAACTATACATTTTAGTTGGTTTCATGTAGGTCAGTGTTTCCCAACTGCTGGCAATGTGTCACAATGCACCAGTATGTCGCGAGGGTAATTCGGGTGTGTCATGAAAATTTGCCGCAATCCACCACAAAACGAAAAAATAATTAGATATCAAACGGTTTTTTAATAGACGTAATCGCTGGGAAAGATCATTTTCTTAAACTGAGTACATATTTGAAGGCATAGTTTTTTTTGTTTTATTTAAGAAGAAATAGATCAGTCAATGGGTTGACTTTATACAATTAATTTTGCCTAAACACTAATCTCACATTTAGATAGTAGATAATCTAGGTACAGACAGGTAAAATGGCGTTTATACGTTATTGCAAATTTTAAAAAAGGTGAAAATACTCAAATATTGCATAGTTTGCACTAAAGACCGACAAAATTGTCAAAATTCTAAATTAAGTACACAGGTATACTAAAAAAGTTACAAACAGTTATACGAATTGAAAAAACAGTAATACAAACTGAATTTTGCAACTCCATGTAATATTTTGTTTACAGAAGAAATTAACTAAAAACTACACCTCAAAATGGAAGATTGTTTAATTTATTTATTTTTTGTTATTCTTTGGTGGCCTATTGGTTTGAGGTGTCAATCTTGTAATAGTTGTTGGTGTTATTGTTGGTTCAAAAAAAAAACTAAATGAGTTTTGTTAAATGGTGACAAATGGATTGAAAATAATTCCTTAATTTTTTAATATTGCTGATGAACAACCTCAACAACAAATAAGTAACAACTAATAAGTATTATACGATCTTGATAATTATGAGACCGGAAATAGAGAAGTTTTCAAAGTGTTAACAACTTGTCACGAGTTAAAATTAAATTCATTTTTATCCATCAGAAAGAAGATGCATTGACTGAACGGAATTTAGGAACAAAAGAATGTTGTAAAAATAAAAAGAAAGACGGAAATGAATAAGATACAGTAGCAATACATTGATTTGATGTAAAATGTAAAATTATTAAACATCATGATTTTTTGAGGACATTTTTACTACAAGTTTCGTTTTGCCTAAGATTCAAAAATGAAAATTAGTTGCATACGCAGTCACTGTTTTTATTAAACAAATTATGCAAAAATAATACGAGTATATTATTCGTGATGTGCCTCAATTTAAATGATGAAATATTAAATCTAGAATGCAATAGTTCATGGTGCAATCTGAGTTGGGATATACATACACTATTACCCTAGAAAGATCAATTTCCTTTGAGAGAATTCAAGAATTATTCGTATAGAATAGTTCTCATAATAGAATACTAAATTGGTGATCCATATTCTAACTTGAGGGAATAGTATAGAGTTTGGATTATTGATATCAATATGACCTGCAACATATTATATTAAAGACTATCATTTTATGTAAATATTTCGCTGTATTTTGAGTATACTCGGGAAAATTCAAATGTAGTAAGTACTTAAATTATTTAGGTACTAAAATATCGGTTTGCAAAAGCATATCCTGTGTCGGCGGCATATTTTTCTAAAGAAAATAGTACGCCACTGCATTACGGTAACAACCATGATATTTTCGGTTCGTTTTTCAATTTCCTGCAAATTACTACTGTCTTATGTTTTTCGAAATAAGCCTGGAAATTGGGCATATGTATTTATGTAAATAATACTGTCCGTTTCTAAATAAAATAGTACGCCACTGCTTTATGGTAACAACCATGATATTTTCGGTTCGTTTTTCAATTTTCTGCAAATTATGACTCTCTTATGTTTTTCGAAGAAAGCCTGATTTTCGAGTAAAACTTAAAATACGAACTGAGAACATCCATCAGATTCAAGCAACAATCCTGTCGAAACAGTCCCGTTTTCGTGGAAATGGAGGTATTTTTGAGCATTTACTCAAACAAATCATTAAAATGATGACTAATGTTATTAATTTCTTTATTCGAATAAATAACCGAATTATTAGTGCCTGTCATGTCATTTAAGTAAAAGTGTTTTCAGTTGTTTTTTTTAAGTTTTACTCGAAAATCAGGCTTATTTCGAAAAACATAAGACAGTTGTAATTTGTAGAAAATTGAAAACCGAACCGAAAATATCATGGTTGTTACCGTAAAGCAGTGGCGTAGGTACTATTTTATTTAAAAAAATATGCTTTCAGATTTTGGACAATATTATTTACATAAATACATGTGCCCAATTTCAAATTATTTCACTTACTAGTTTTTAAATTATTTAGAAAAATTAAAAATATTTTTTGAAGTAGGTATCTGAATCTTTTTAACGAAGTGTCCTAGATAAAATCTTTATAGGAAAGGCTCCCCTTAAAATTCACCAAAGAATACGAGGCTTCATTTCTGGTTACCATCTGTGAATCACTCTGTATAATCTCTTTTCGTTCCAATGAGTGGCAATTATTAGTATTATTATAAAATTTAACTACTACAAAGATATTGTGATGTAAACATTGACAGGCAATCATTGTATGAACACGATATTGATACTGAACAGATTTATGGATCCTACACCTTAAATCTCTTCCTTAGTGATGACGAAGGCAGAAGCAAATTGAATACTCATACAATACAATGCTGACTTTGTGATCAAAACACTGCCAATTAATCAGAATACCCTCAGTGCGCTGTTTAACCAAAGTACTGTTAATTGTTTAAAGATCATGTTTAAGATATTCATAACCAATTTGACTGTATTTATGTCTTATTTATTATTATTTTATAGATGATTGATAATCATTTAGCTAAATATAGTCGATGACTAAGAACCCATATTAAGTCTACCGAGAAGTCTCCTGAATAAATTTGTATTCTGTATGAGGTTCTACCTTATGTAAGTTTCATTGAGGCATCTGAATTTAAATTTAAAATGTCGCGTATTTCCTGGTAAATATGTAAAATTCGAAACCGACTTACCCCAGAACCGTGTAATCCCAATCGTACCCTGGAATATTTTTTCATAACAACTCTCCAAATGACGTAAGCCATGGTTGGTAAATCCACAGAACATTCCAAGTTTAAACAAATTCATTCAAACAAACTGAAGGTCCGACTAGTCTTGATTCCTTCGATCTGTTTATTTTTTTAATTACAGCTTAACTTAGTTACACAAGCACCTTACGCGTGTTACTATGCAAACATGTACGACATTCATAACTACGTAGATACCTAACTTCTATGGCACAACTTTTAATTCAGAATTTCGTAACTAAAAGACTCTAACACACCGATAACAATGTTTACCACCTACTACCTGGTCTAATATGTTACTAAATTATTTCCTAATTTATACGAGATTAGAGTAAGTAAGCGTTAAACACCAAAGAGCGGAAGTAGTCATTAACTTTTCGGGGCAAAAAATTGGGGACCCAACACTTCTATTAAAGGAATCAAAACGCGACACAGTTACTGAATTTACTGTTTGGTTCTACAGCTGGTTGTTTTTCGGGAGATCGGGTAGTCCTCGAAAAAAAAAACAAAAGAGCGGTAGCACACACGCAGCCAGTTAACCGCGCGCGAAACAATCGACTGTCGCTCTGACCACACGTGCTTTTTCGTTCCACCACGTTTAGCGCCGAGTACGTGGGGAAAAGGAAATATCAGAGCCAATGGATAAGACAACGACAGACGTCGTCGAACATGGCACATCCGCGGTGTTGTGCCGGTGGCTCGGTAACAGCACCGGAAAAGTAGGGGATGTTTTAATTCATTAATAATTTGATGTGGACACTGTCTGGAGGTGTGCCGGCCGTTGGCCAGCAATTTGCTTTATTGGTTACATTTATAACCAAGAGCAAATAAAATTACTGGGCATTCACTCTGCATCAAAAGTCAATGCCTTTTGTACCTACATTTCGAATAACCTGTGACTTATTAACAAATAAAAGGAAGTCTTGTACAGGATGGGTCAGATGTAACATTCGATTCGAGGATATTTGTTAAAAAAAAAATGGAAACAAGGAATTTGCATAAAGATTTAATTTCTTTTAGAACTGTATAAATTTGTAGCCTTTGGCGGACAGCGATAAACAGTAGCAAACAAATTAATTTAATTAATTGTACAAATTAATTAAAATGTTCAAAATTACGTAAAAAATTTAATTTTATCACGTGATCAATAACGCGTCGTGACGTCATTTAGTGCTATTGAGAACACAACATACCTCTCAGCTGATTGACATCTAGTGTACAATTCTCATGTCAACGAAACGGAAGCTAATTTAAAGAAATGCACATGCGGGGAACCTTGAAGCAAAATGAATTTTACTAGCCATCTCTAGACTGTTATTCGTTTTCTCCGCTATCGATCGCACTAAATGACGTCATGAATTAGACACCCGTTTAAAACATTTATTTATAGCTTCTAAAAGATTTGTTATATTTTCACTACAAAATTATAACCGTTAGAAACACAAAAAGCTTCAGTTTATAGTTGTTACGATCTCATTTGGAACCGCATAAAAACATTTAACTCATAAATTCTACGGAATCCATAAACGTCCAGAAAAATTTAGATTGTCCAGTTTTTTATGTTAAAAATCGTAATGAAGGATAATCGCTTAATTTATCTAGAGTCATATTTAAAGTAGGAACTTTATTTTCTTTATACATATTATAAATTGTGCGCCGCATTACATCTGGTAAAATCGTCAATTTTCTTTAATCTTGTATTTTTCCGTTTACGAGACATCATGGTCAAAGCATACGAAGAAATTTCAGGAGAAGTTCATACGGTCCTGTGCTTTAAGATTTACAGGTTCCAATTGACATCGTAACAACTATACAAGAAAGTAGTTTAATTACAAGAAGTTTTTTTAATTATAATTATAATTATTGCCATATGGTACTGGAAAAATAAGTTAATTTCAATATACCTCACTTCTTAGTGCATCGAAAATCAAATCGTCAAATAGAAATAATTACTAGATGGCACTTTATGCTCAAGGTGATTTTCTGTCCAAAATTAAAAATTTTTATATGAACATTGAACATGTCCATAAATGCTTTTTGTTTTTGAGGGTGGTAAATGATTATTATCTTCTTATTCATTTTAATTTGATTTACACGGTTTCTGGTAGATTCCCATGGTATTTGATGGCTGGCTAGATTACCAGTCTTGGAACCGTTTTATCACAGTTTTACTTAAAGCTAACCAACAGACTGCACTTGAAATATGATCACGCTAGAACAGTCACATTTTGATGAATGTCATCGAAACTGTTACATAAAAAATAACCAACGATATTAAAGTTGAACAATAAACCAGAGATATTGTATTAAAAAAAATGTGTCGTCTTAAAAAAGTAAGGAAATTCTTAGTTTCAAAAAGTGGTGATTATTTCGAACAATAACTCGTATATTTCGTTGGTCTTCAAGATACATATATTGAAATTTTTAGAAATTATGAAATTTTTACCCTAAAAACACGTTTGCAAACTTTGGAACGTTAATACGAACTTTTTTCTTAGTTTTGATTACATTGTAATCTATTATGGGGCTGTTGTAGGCCACCATAATATGAATAATTCTTCGTCTAACTTTAACTTTCCAATATAGGCTCGCAGCGTTGACAGCGGCTGCTTCAACTTTATATTGTCCATATCTCGAGTGTGTTCCAGTTTCACTCAACTTTTCTAGTCAGAATTGTTACCTACGTTACGAATCCAACTGTCAAAATTTTTCACAGCGCCGCAAATTGCTCCAAATACCCCAAGCCGCAGCGTACGACATCTGGAGAGCTCGATGCTGTTGGACTATCGACAATCCTCGCGGGTCGACCAAAATTACAAACCAGTTTTGAATTTCTTCCACGAAATTTAAGCTGAAATACAACACTGAGTTGCCTTACATAAAACTAGATTCCACGAAGGAGAAGTCAACAGTAATGAATACCCCGATTACGGAGAGGCCAGATGTCAGGATCGAACGTCGACTTTGGTATATTCCAGTTCTATAACCAGAGCAGAAGTCCCTGGCCAGTATGTGTACTCGACCCGATTTCAAATGTATTCGTTGCTTGGAGCAATCCTTGCTTGTTTAGAAGAAAATAAGTTTCAAGGGTCCACAAATAGAATACACGACAACAGCGTACCCTTGCTAGGCCGCCATACTCACACATTATATGGGCTATGATCTCCTTCTCACACTCCTGTTATTATATTTATTGATTTACGACTTTAATTCAATTTGTCTGCAGTCAACTCCTTTTAAAAACTTGCTACTGTTCAGAGTTTTTGTGCTACCAAATAGCACTATACAAGTCTGGAGATTTAGTCAGTTAATTATGGACAGTTAATAGTGCAACATTCTGTAGATTTAGGAACGGTATAATATATTTGTTTCTATAATTTCCGTATGTTTTTAGATATGATAATTTTTGCAGAAATGGCATAAAAATGAACATATAAGTCTTAATTGATGAACAGTGAATAGTTGGTATTTAGTATCTAATACTTATTAAATTAGTAATAAATATATGAATGGTGCAAAAATACCACAACTTGTGGAACAACTGACTACTGACGTCGTACAAAAATTACTAATAATAAATTAAAAGAAATAACTCATTTTAATTCAACAATAATGTTCTTCTACAACTAAGTGACATTAAATAGGGAAAACCCATTAAATTCCTAAATATTAATATAACCTGCATATTGTGGTATAAATATAAAGCATGTGGAACAGATGGTCCATCTACTATCTCTTAAAAGATGTTTGATTAATTTATCTGTCAAAATCAATTTACACCAAACGATTATTTTTTATTAGTTATACAATCCAATGAATGTGGGTGCCCCATTGCTCTATTTCTAATTGCCCAGCATATACGATCTACGGTATTAACAATTATAATAGTTTTGTTTATTCAGAATTTGGGTGTAGCAAGCGGCCTTCGTTGAGCTTCAAAAATTGTGGGATAGGCTCATTGCTCATTGTTTGCAAAAATGTCGTTGACTAACACATATATACTTATTTGTGTTTATTATTACTGTGTGCTACCACAGAAGTAAATTTATTTAAATATAAATAAACATCAACATAATAAATCAGAATAAATCCATCAAAAAATTATTTTGTTAAATGTTAAATTTACCAGTGCTGTAGTAACAGAACATATGCAAAAAACAAACAATGTTTAGCAGTCCTGCTCTAAATTTTGCGGTTTGAAATAATAAAATGAGAATAGTTCTCAGATTACACGGGTTCTATATGCGGAGGATACAATGTAACAGATTCCAGCTATATTCGTTACATTCTTTTCGGCAATGTCATTTCCTGACAATAAAATCCTGCTAATTTTCTGTTAAGAATGCACAGCATGCATATGAGTGTATCTTCTGGCTCCAGCTTTTTTGCGTCTGCTGAAATATAGTTGACCCAATTGCAAGGTTATATAAAATGTTTTGATATTCGCATAGTTGGATGAAACTCTCCCTTGCCAACGAAATAGCCATGCAAACATTCCATGTCTCAAAAGTGACTATATATGTATGTAAGATTTATCAAATAGCAATCAGCAACATTATTTTGATAGCCATGAATGTGCTACAAAGGAACAAATCCAGGCTCAGCTGTCGGCAGGCCTCATATCTGTATTTATGTTTTTCATGATAATGCTAGTAAATTATTCAAAACTTTCGTAATATTTATTATATGATTAAATTCCTGGTAGCGGTACACAATGCTATTTAAGTGTTAATAACAATAATTATTGTTATTTATACACTTGCTATTATATCTGACTGGAAAAGACGATAAAAAATTTCATTAAGAGTACCTAAACCAAACAATTAGGTGTATGATTCTTATAAAAAACCACTATCTAACTGTCAAAATATAAAAGAAAACCCTGAATACAGGCTGTCGTGTTGTGCTAATAATGATTAAAAATTAAAATATAGTTTCCCAAGGTGTTTATAACAAAATAATATATTTATCAAAATGCCACGGAATAGCAGTCATTAGTAAGATTGTCGACGAAAAGTTAAAGCTACATCTATATCGCTTAGACTTCTTTAGCTTCAGAGTTTCTTCTGAAGAGATGTCGAAATGTCAAGAAATTTAAACAACGACGACCTGGCAACCGGCCAGGAAATTGTGAAATTTGCTATGTTTCTGCATGGAAATTTTTGTTAATCTTTCTTCTGTTCTTAATATGTACATACACCTTTATATGCGTATAAGTAAATGCAAACTGTTTCATAGAGCAAGTTAGAAAGTAGTTTAACGTAAGAGAATAAACATAAAACTTGTTAAGGTTTCTTCATTTAAAATAAAATCCGTTTAATTGCTTTATTTTCGCATCGCAGTTACGTAGCAGGCAATTAAATTTCAGTAGAATCTATTAATAAATCGCGATTTATTTCCGTAGATAATACTGTAATAATTATATTTTTGTACTGAGCTTTCGCAAAAAATATAGAGCACGGGTGCGATCGCAAGATATTTTTTACACGCAATTAAACAGTGCGGATATAGTTCGTTTATTGCCTCAATTGGCATTC